GGCCCAATGGGGGGCGGCGGGAAGCCACGGCCAGCACATCCCTCGGCCCGCGCCGCTTCCTGCTGTCCCCATTGGCCCGGGACGGCGAACCGCGGCGAGTGGGGGCCGCGGTTGGCCGAACTTGCCACGTCAGCAGGTAAATAAACTGGCCCGGCCCGCTAGGGTGCTTACCCTGGCGAGCCGTGTGCCGAACGTTGCCAACCCCTGGCCTAGGCTCTGGTTCAGAGCAGGGCAGCAAGCACTGTCACTTAGCTCAGGCCTGCACTCAGGCGGAGCAGCAAATAGGCATGTAGCCCAGGCTCTGGTTCAGAGCTGGGCGGTAAACAAAGTCATTGAGCTCCAACCTGCACTCAGGTGGGGCTGCAAGCAATTAATGAGCCCAGGCTCTGGTTCAGAGCTGGGCGGGAAACAAAGACACTCAGCCTGGGCCTGCAACCAAAGTCAGTTAACTCAGGCTTTCATTCAGCTAGCCTGAGGGAGTGGGAGACTGTCACCCACCGCTTGGGTGGCAGGGGGGGATGCAGGCCTTCCCATTCCACTGCGTCCCGGCTCAGGGCCCTAAGGGTGGCGGAGGGGTCTGCCACTGCGTCAGTGGGGATCCAAGCCGCAACACGCTGACTCACTCTCTGCCAGCGTTGCAGCCAAACAGGGGTCTACTGCCCCTGGGCCACTTCCACACTCCCCCTCCAAGGGTACCTGCTGATCCGGTGAGGTAAGATGATCAGCGGGGGCCTCAGTTGCCAGCAGTAGCTCTGCCGGGGTTAGGGCCAGCCGGTGGTCTGGGACAGTCATCTGTCTCCTGCGCGGCCGGGTCATCCAGAGGTCCAGGTTGTCCAGGCCAGTCATCTGCCACCCCTGGGGTCAGGTCAGTCCAGGGTCCAGGCGGTCTGGACCAATCGTCTGCACTCTGCGGGCCTGCTGCCACCTCCCAGCACGAGAGCTCAGAGGAAACATCTGTCCCCTCCAGTGGCTAGGCCACGACTGAGCTTCTCGGTCCCGCCTTTATACTTCCGGCCCCGCCGTTGGTGTCCAGGGGGCGGAGCTAGGGGTAGGGCTCCGCTCACGAGGGTTGGAGCCCCCTCTTCCTCTGTGTCTAGGGAGGGCCCGTTCACCTCACTTCAATCCCTCAGCACTGGACAACTCATCTTCCCCAAGACCTGCAGCAGGAGCAGCCATCCTGGGAGAGGTGACAATTGATCAGGTAAGAATGGCAGAAAGTTGCCACCTGGATTTTGTGAGGTCACCTCTGATTTCCATGGGGGTTTGCACATTCCCAAATCACTTTAAGAATGCACAAAACCTTATCACCATGTGATGTCACCTCTCAGGATGATGAAGTTTTGATGTCATCATGCCTACATCACACTGTGCTGATGCCAAGCTGTGATGTAAAGATCAAAGCATCATAGGGCTAGATATCACACCACGCTAGTCCCCACAGGCAGGAATTCTGCAACAAGTGCTTTCGTGGGAATTCTCCCTTCCTTAAAGTTAAGCACCCGCTTAAGTGCTTTGCTGGATTGGGGCCAAAGAGACACCATTAGTCTCCTTAGCGGTAAATCTGACACTGCTTTCAGGCAATAAGTTTGCTGAAATTTTCCATTTTCCTTCTAAACATGCATCTCTTAGATAGCTTTGTTTCTGCAGAAAGCAGAGTTCAATAGTGCAGCCTTCATGAAATTTATGCTGTCATTTACAAGATATAATCTTTAAATCTCAGTAACAAAGACTCTCTGTAACTGCAAAGCTTCTCCATATCAGACAATAGCAAATTCTATTAGTAACAACATTTCAACAATGATTAACCTCAAACGCAGATAGATAACAACAGGAGCCACCTTCAGCCCTGGCATACATAGGTACAACTCCTATTGTCTACAAACAAAAGTTACTCCTGCTTGCATCTGGATGCATTTATCCCTAAGACTTCAAGTTCATACATTGCTGCGTTGGTGAAACCCGTAAGCACAAATCTCAGTGGGTGAAATCCTGGCTCAAAGGCAAAACTCTCATTGACTTCAGTAGCGTCAGGATTTCACCCAATAAGTAAACCCTCTCTAGTGAATGTGAAGTGCTCATGAAAGGTGCGGGATGGATGTCCCTGGAGAAAGGGCATAAAGCAGTGCAAGCTTCTCCTACCCTGCTCCTACAACATGCCTCAAACCCAGCCTACAGGCATGCAAGTCAGTCTCCAAAGCCCATTCATATCTTGGCCTCTGTATCATGAGACCGCCAACAGGATGCCAGTTATAATGGTGGGGTTTGGAAAGCAGATACTACACTGAGACCATCAAACTCACAGAGACCACCACGCAATGAAGACTTTCATTCACTTATCAAAATTAGCTGGCTATGCAGGGAGCATACTTCGCAGCAGTGTGCCTTACTGGATTGTGCACTAGAAGTGGACTCAGGAGACCTGGGTTCTACTCCTAGCTGTGGCCTACTGGGTGACCTTGGGCAAATCATTGCCACTCTCTATGCCTCAGTTTCCCCATCTGAAAAATGGGGATCCTGAGACCCTTTTTAAAGTGCTTTGAGATCTACAGATGAAAAGCACCTTATGAAATCTAGGTACACCTCTACCTCGATACAACGCTGTCCTCAGGAGCCAAAAAATCTTACCGCATTATAGGTGAAACTGCGTTATATCTGAATTCGTGTTATATCGGGTCACATTATATCGAGGTAGAGATGTACTACCTTCACCCTGACATGGAGGGCCATTTAGCCCCACCTATGGTAGGGTTTTGTGTGATGTTGAAACCTGACCAACTCATTTGACACAGAGCAATGAACAGCCTTCAGTTGGTGAAAACTTTCCACTGCTACTTCCAGCTCTGCAACTGGACTCGGGCACCTAAAAGTGAAAGGTTCTACATCCAATCCCCTGAACCACCTCACCCAATCTGCTCTGTCCTTAGCCTTATTCAAGTCCAGCCGGTGCATGTTTTTTATGTACAGGATACTCTGCTGTTCATAACCCTGCGTGTGCTGGAGGACGTGGTTATCATGGGGTTTGATTGAACTGGGAAAGCGTCCCTCACTTGACAATGTGTTTTAAATCAGCCTGCATGGTAAAATAGCTGAATGTCTCTCCTAGCTACCTAACTAAATGGCACTGCTGATAACCACGCTGCTCTGAAATAGTTGGACTTGAGAAATAAAGCATGATCAGGCTTGTGTCTCCTTGTCACAGACATGTCAGGATTTCACAAGCCGACTGGGACTCTGAAAAATGATAGGGCAGAACCAGAGTTTCTTTTTGCTGAGCGTCATCTCACATTCCTGGTTGTTGCAGGGCGAGGTTACAATGTTTGCAATGCACGTTCCATCTTTCCAGTTTAAAAAAAAATTAAGTTTATGTTAGTGCTGCTTAAAAGTCCTAGCCTGCCAGAGCTGGAGAATCAAGTCTTGTTTTATCTGGTCCTCTGTTTAGTCACAATCTTCTGTTCACCCCCAGTAGCCCTGTGAGCATTCTACCAATGCACCTCCGCCTTGGCTGGAGGGACCTTCTCTTGGGGCTGCATCCCTGCCCATCCATTTGCTGGCTTTCCTTCTGAGATCAGCTGCAAGGATGATTGATGGTGGTTCTCCAGCTGCAGTTCAGTTTGAGAGCAGTACAGTGTAATCTATGGCGGGGTTTGTTTTTGTAACATGGACCTAGGTCTGCTAAGTATCAGAGTGAGAGCATCCATGGATTTTACACAGGGCGCTGAACAGCCATCAGATGATAATGACTTTTGGTCACTACTGACCTGGACCTGACCTAACTCAGATGCTGTATATTTATTAACAATCCCTTGAGCCATCTAACCCCAGCCACCAGTGAATTTTTTAGCACTTCTGAAAATCAGGCTCAAACTTGGAGGTCCCCCCATTCAGAGGCCACCTAATGCCAGTTAATGAGAGAATTTTAACATCAAGTCCTGCTGGACATGTGATATTACAACAATGATTGTGGGGGAGTCATTTCCTCAGCAATTTCCTTCGGCAGGCTACGCTGTTTCCTGAACTTCACAAACACATCAAGAAATTCACAAACAATGTAGTCACAAACAATACTGTTTTCAATATGTGGCCTGGGCCAGGGCTGCATTTTGGACCTAAGTTATTACAGGAAACATGATGTCTAGGCTAACAACAGTGTGAAGAGTTCCCCATTGCAATATAGTTATAAACTGTCACATCAGTCCTCCAGCAGATGTAATCAATTTCACAGTCAGAATAAATAATGGCATTGAGAGAACTTCCAACAAACTTACCTTGCAAAATCTCCTTTCGCCTCCTGTAAAAAGATGGAAAAAAACCCATTTGTCACTAAAATAGCAACATTTAATTCAGAAAAGATACATTTCTAGATTTGTCACTTACAAATATCAGTCAACAATAGTTTCCTTACTTAACAAATTCCAATGGTATTGTCAGTATCAAGCCTTTAAACTAAGTCGGACTTGCTGTACCACTTTGGGCTGCAATCTGGACAGATCTTACAAATCAAATCGGGTTAGGCACAGCAAGTAGTCAGGCCGACGACTCTCTATGCTGCTAGTGGATGACTATGGTAAGTACTGCAGGAAGTAGTGCTGGCGAATTACTAAGTGTGTTCTTCGTATTAAACCAGTACTCCTGTATGGTTAGGGGGCAGTGCATTGCTAGAAGATCTCCAAAGTACAAGTGACTTGTGGTCACTGAAAACCCCCTGACACCTTTTGCAAATATTAGCCCCACTGCTTGGATCAGTTTCCAGTTTGAGTAATTACATTCTGCATATCTAAATTTCCCATTCTGCTTTTTGTTGGATACAGTGTTTTTCTTAAACTTCTGTCCTTCCTACCTAAGAAAGTACTTAGGGAAACACTGACTATATATTTTAGATGTTTCGTCCATGAAAGCATTGTGATCTATCTATCAACATCAGAGTCCAATCCTACACTGGTGTGTGGTGCTCCACTCCAGTGATGGCATCAGTACCAGAATTTGGTCTCTGCTGGAGTCTTGTAGCCATATTTTGATATCTGAAGCATCCCCAAAATTGGTTGTGTCACATTCCCAAAATACACAGTGGTTGCCATTAGAAAGTCAACATTTACCAAGAGTTACACACTTTGCTTTAACATGGTAAAATGTATAATGTAGACAGAGCATTGTAATCATTTAGTTTGCAACTGGTCAGTAGTGGAGCCTCCACAATGGGCATGTCTTCACTGCAGACCTAACCTGGACTCTTACTTGGGTGTTGCCCGTAATTCCCCTCCCATCCACGCACAAATCCTCTCACCCAAGTTTAGCGGTGCTTTAAACCCGGGTTAGCCTGGCTGGGCGTGCAGGCTAGAGCTCAGCTGCTGCTTTCATTTGGGTATCCCACTTACTTTGCAGTGAGGACACAAGCTGAACCACTTGAGTGGTGACAGTCCTCCAATGCCTTCTCACACGTCCCCTTGTGTGTGCAGGACACACAAATTCTCTCAAAATTCACTAAGAATGAATCATAGAGTTGCTCAGGCTACTGCATTACAAAGAAGCAAGAGAGATGCCCCCAGAAGTCCTGGCGACACACAAGGGTGAGTGCAGAATCAGTGAGGACACAGTCACTTGGGTTTGACTTTGCAGTCTGGCTAACCTGAGCTGACTCTGCAGTGCAGGCACTGAATCAAAACAGATAGCTGAACGATCCCCCTTGTTCTCTGCTGGAGTGCATCACACACACAGGTTGTAATAATTGTAACTTGGTCACATATAAAAGTATGGTTTGTGTTGCTTAATTTCATTAAGTCACACTTCAAACTACTCCCGCAATGTGCGTAATATCCTGTGTTTGTTTGTGATGGTAAATACTTCAGATCACAGCAGCCGGGGGCTACAGTGGCATACTGGCCGGGGCTTACATCTATAGCTGCTAATTGCTCAAGTTTTTCATTAGGATGCAGGGACAAACAATAGATTCCTATCCCTAGCACTAACTCTCACAATGAGCCTGCTGTCCGAGATGTGTATTCACCCAGCAGGCCAATACGCAATTGCTGTAATGTGCTTTTAATTGTTTCTCCCTCTCTCTAATTTTTGCTGTATTACTCTAAAATTGATCTTAATGAAGAATGAAACTCCCAGCACTAATTGCTTCCCTAACATGAAAAGTGCTACAGAAGTGCAATGGTTACTATTGATTAACATATGCTGATGAGATGGCTTGGCTGTTCCACATGGATCTTTTAGGAGTCTCATGGCTGACTGGAAAGAGACTAAAAACTGCACTAAGAAGAGGAGAAAAAGAAGAAACCATTATCTGGCCATTATCTCTGATCTTCTCCCAGGACAATTACTGCCCATAAAGAATGACGTGCCCTCAAACCCCCCACCCTCTGCTTTTATGAATCATTCCTGTCAGGTCACTTGTACTGAACTGCAAACATTACTAAACACTTTTGATAATGGCAAAAACAACGAGAGTCCTTGTGGCACCTTAGAGACTATGCATCTGATGAAGTGGGTTTTAGCCCACGAAAGCTTATGCCCAAATAAATTTGTTAGTCTCTAAGGTGCCACAAGGACTCCTCATTGTTTTTGCTGATACAGATTAACACGGCTACCACGCTGAAACTTGTCATCTTGATAATTGGTGCATCGTCCCCTCCTTCTTCGTGAATAAAGAGGTGGTCTCGGTAAAATCATGGGCCCAACTTCAATCTTGGGGTAAGCAGGTGTAACTTCACTGAAGCCAGTGGAGTTGCACTCAACAGGTCTGGATTTGATCCACTTCAATTTACCCTGATCTCTAGGTTTTAGGTTACAGTCCAGCGTCTTGCACCCTGTCAGTCATCTGAATCTGGGCAGAGTGAGTGCAAAATGCTGGCCATTTACATCTGTGTGGGGGAATGAAGGATTCTGATTTGGTAACATTCTGCATGGGTGTAAATGGTACAGGGCAGATAGGGACCCAGTCCTGTTTGAGACAACTTCGTTGCTCACCTGCTGCAGGATTAGGGCTTGTCTTAATAGCAGAGTTAACCTGAGTTAAAATAGAGTGCTAAGAACCATGGGGTGTGCCACACATGAGCAAGTATACCACCAGTGTGGACGCAGCAACTTGAGTGTTCTTTCGCAGCTTGGCTGCTTTCATTAGAACGCTGCTAACTCGAGAGGAGTAATTTGAGCATAGCTAACTCGAGCTAATTGCAGTGAAGATATACCTGTAGACATATTAAATCTTCATCCCCAATTGAACTGGAAGCCTTGGAGAATTTTGTGTTTCCTGCTGGGTAGTATAAAGCTGCCTCTCAACTGCTTCTCTTATTGTGTGGACGAGGAAATCCCGCCATGCCATATAACTTCCCATCCCCTTTCTAGCTTGTTGAAATGCCCAGGAATAGGTGATCCATTTTGAACTGGAGATTGACTTGAGCTACAAAGTTCAGATCTGGTTCCAGATCCCAATTTTCCAGGGTTTTGATTTGGGCCAGTCTTTTAATTTGGATAAAATAAGACCTGACAAATCTTTTCTGAAGCCGAATCCTAAGGTGGAAATTTAAGGCTTGATTTTCACGGGCGCTGATGCTTGCAGCTCCCACTGACTTCAAGTGGAGTTGTGGATTCTCAACATATCTGAAAATCAGGCACAACTGTGGGCCTGATTCTCCTCCAACACCAGTGTCCATCAGAAGCAACTCCACTAAGTTAGTGCAGTTACACCAGCGTAGAATTGGTGACAGAGCAGAACCTTGCCTTGCTTTTCAAAACTGTATTTAATATTTTCACCTTAGGTTTCCTTTAGATACTGGGCTGGATCTGACACAGGATGGTCAGCGAATCAGGAAACTTATGCCTCATATGAAAGGAAAGAATCATGGTCTAACAGTTGAGCACAGCCCTGTCTGGGGCGTCAGGAGATCTGGCTTGTATTCTGGGTTCTTACCTGCTGATGTGATGAGGGTTAATTCATGATGAATGTGTGTAAAGCCCTTTGAGATCCTCAGATGAACGGTGCTATAGACGTGCAAAGTATCACTAGATATGGATGCAAATTAGGTTCACCATACACTTCAGCACAGGGGAATGATGGGGCGCAAAGAACCCCCTTACATTCCGGTGTGGGCAGCACGCATAGCTGGAATCTCCAAGGAGGAGGACAGCATATGCTGCTGGGCGGCTATTCCCCTCCTCACACAGATGCACAAGGAGTGGATAGGCAGGGGTGGGAGTGAGTACAGCCATGGCTCCAGCCCTAGCATGCCAGCCAGCACACTGGAGCTGAAGCAGATGGGGAAGTAATCCATGCCGGGTAGCTCACTTCCACATCCACTTCCAGCTGGTTCCCGTCCTGCTCCTGAGGCAACGCGGCAAATCAATGCCCCTCGCTCGGCTGGGACAGCAGGGTTACCATCCAGCACTAAAGGGTTCCAGCTTTTTCCCCCTAGCTTGGCAAAATACACCCTATCTTCTCTGTTCCTGTAACTTGGTGTAACTCCCTAGGAGGGTCTGTGATTTCTGAACCCCCAACAACAGATTTAAGCATCGCAGATACAGAAGGAACAAGAGACAGCTGCTGCCCCTACCTGCAAGATGTACGCGGCCAATTCAAACACCACCTCGCTGTCAACTTCAATGAGTTCCTAGGAAGAAAAGAGAAGGGGAAAAAAAAAGGAGAGTTCACTAAATTTCAGCTCCCCCAAGACGAACCTGCTCGTAATGACACAGTGAAACGTGCCTTCTCCTCTGGCTCGGCTTCAAAGGGTTCCCATTACTCCTGGAGACCAAATGGACCTGCTCACAGCGATGTGGAGAAAGCAAAATACACAGAACTCTGTCCTGGTAAATGAAGCGCAACATCAGAACTTAACTGGGGTGGAATGGAGGAGTTGCAGGGGAGGGGGCGCGGGAGGAGGAGAATTCATTCTTTCCCATGTGCTTTTAGGAGAAGTAATATGTAATATTTTTCTATTCCCAAAATACCACCCAGGCTTCATGGGAACGTGGCTTTTCCCCCTTCCCCTCAGCAGGGAAAACTGAAGGGCTGTATCCTCTGGAGCAGTGTGCTGTGTTTGCAATAAAACCCAGAGCCCCACGAAAATGACCGGACCTCAGGTTTCACAGCCAGTGCTATGCTGAGCCCATGTTAAAGCTGGATTCCAATCCGAGCTCCTGGAGGAAAGTTTTAGACCCAGTGGGTTGGTTACAACCATTTGTCTCACATAACTGCCTGGACTGATTTAAAATTTTGCACTGAAATCGTATTCCTGACATTGCATGGTAGTCAAATGTGATCTGTTCTAAGCACTTCCTTACAATGCTCATCACTGTAGGATCCAGGCATCAAGAAAAGCAGCTAAGGGAAACAGTGATTTTGGTTTCAGACACAAGTTCAACTCCTCCTCCCCACAATACACATATCTGGACTCCCCAAGCAACAGGTCTCAGGAAACAGAGGAAGGAGTTAACACATGTTGCAAGAAATATTCAAAATGAAGTGGGCAATTAACACTCTCTGAAATCATAGGCCAAAGGAGAGAGTTAGTAGGTTACAGGTTGTAATGAGGCATAAAACCAGTGTCTCTAAGGCTGGGTCTACACTACCCGCCTGAATCGGCGGGTAGAAATCGACCTCTCGGGGACAATCGATCCCCAAATCGACGCTCTTACTCCACCAGGGGAGGTAGGAGTAAGCGCCGTCAACGGGAAGCCGCAGAGGTCGATTTTGCCGCTGTCCTCACAGCGGGGTAAGTCGGCTGCGATACGTCGAATTCAGCTACGCTATTCACGTAGCTGAATTTGCGTATCTTAAATCGACTCCCCCCTGTAGTGTAGATGTAGCCTAAGAATCTGTTCCACCTTCTATTTAGCTGTGGCACTCTGATTACCTTTCCCAGACCTGAAGAAGAGCTCCATAAAACTTGAAAGCCTGTCTCTCTCACCAACAGAAGTTGTCCAATAAAAGATATCGCCTCACCAACCTTGTCTCCCTCAGATCTTGGGGAAGTCGTATAAACTGTGCTTCTTTCTACTACCACATGATATAGGCCCTGATCTAGTAATTGCATCTGCATGGGCAGCGCCCTGCACTCATGCACAACTCCGCTGCGCTCAGTAGGGCTCTGCTGGGGCACCTTGGCTGGAGCCTTACTTTGTCCAAATCACCTTATGGTGGATTCCAACTCTGGAGGTTCCTGTAGGGCTCTCGGAATTTAAGTTCATGTTTGAATTGCTTTACTGTATCTGGAAAGAAAGGTGGATCCGGTACCTGAGATCTAAATTTAGACGATACACTTCATGCAGGTAATGGACCCACCTCATTTACAAGCTGTAAAACAAAGCTCCCCAATCTGTGGGGTGCACCCCCCCTACAGGGGCACTGAGGAATGTTCAGGTGGGCGCGGCTGGGGCTTGGGCCAGCCCCCATCAGGGTCAGGGAAGGAGCGCCACCCAAGCTGGCCCTGTGCTCAGGGCTCCGTTCCTGGCCCCACGCCCGGCATTCTGGCTGCTGGCCCCGCGTCTGGGGCTCCGCTCCTGGCCCCACTCCAGGGTTCCTGGATGCCGGCCCCGCACCCGGGGCTCCATGCCCGCCCCCAGCTGTGGCCCCAGTCTCGGCCCACTTACTCCTATCCGCACTCCCTCAGCTCCCCTCCCCCCAGACCCGGGGCCGCAGCTCCAGGATGGGGGGGACGTAGAGAGAGGTAAGGGGGGGCACAAGGTAAAAAGTTTGGGGACCACTGCCGTAAGATCTGTGCTGGCTCTGCCCCGGCAAACAGAGGATAAGACCCAGGTACTCTTGTGCAAGCATTGTGGTTTAGCAGTGCCAGCTTTCTAGAAAAGCAGCTGACCTCGCCTCCTCTCTAATGATCCACTGGGGGTTGGTTGCATTGAGGTGGGAGCAGTGAAGAGGTTTCTCTTGCTTCTCCCAGATTCAGCTGCTGCGTCAGTGTTTGATGTACTCGGGGTGATTTCGCGAAGGATGAGTATGCGCCAAGGGAACGCGGTAGGGGAGCTAGTTACATCAGCACAAAGGCAGGGCCCAATTATGACATTTGGGCTCAGCCATGGTAAGGGGTGGTGTGGAGCTGCAGAATCCTAAGAGTGTGTCTGCACCGCATCTGACAGCATGTCTCCTGGCCTGGGCAGACAGGCACCTGCTAGTCTGCCCCAGCGAGCGGGTGACTATCTAGGCCGGGAGGCACGTTCCCAGCTGCAGTGCAGACATACCCCAAGAGAAGCAGAGGGAGACACACAGCATCAGGAGCCAAAAGGCCTCCTAGAGGCTGTACATTCTCTCCTACACCCCTTTCAGGGTGCAGCTTATGCAGCAGCCAGCCAGCTCTGCTGGCCAGCGTCGGAGGGGGCAGAGCACCCGTGTCTCCCCCTCCCTCTGGGGCACTGCGCGGCCCCAGGGAAAGCAGGAATGGCGCTGTCCTGGCACTCCACTGAGTGCAGAGATTCTGATTCTGCCTGACCCAGCCGTAAGGACCATGCAGATGGGGCACGGCGCCTCCTGCTTGCTCCCTCTCTGCATAGCCACGGCCGGGGCCAGGCATGACCTGGCCCCAAATGAACATGTTGCCTCACTCCAGTTTTCCAGGAGCCATCCGTGGTGATGGCTAGGTGAGCACTAGAAGCCCTGCTGTGTAAGAAAGGACCTCAGGCCAATGGGAATGATTATTGCCTATTATTATGGACTATTGGTATCGGACAGACACGCCCAGACACACATACTGTACCAAATCCCCAGACAGCTCACCTTCTAAGCAGGCACTTACTCTCTAAACCCGCTACGCTGACTCTATAGAAAGCCCTCAGCCCCGTTCCTCAGTACCTAGAAGGCCCCTGGGAATTCCATGCATGGACAGAGTGGCAGAGTGGCCCTCCTTCGAGCAGTTCGATGGCTGTTTGGTGGCCTCTGCCCAGTTCCTATCCACCATCGCACTGCAGTGTGGCCAGCACTGTCTACACATGGAGACTGAACTCCCTTCTGGCGGATCCCTCCACA